ACTGTTGGGTGATACAACATGCACACAGATATATAACTAATTTGAGTAGTGAGAGACCACTAACAATTGGGGGGATCTGAGGAGACTTCACAGAGGAGGTGGCATCTGAGCTAAGCCTTGAATAAAGAAAAATATTTTTAAAGTAGATGAGGATGGAACGTAGTCCAAGAATGCACTAATGTGAATGCAAAAAGGTAGGTGGTAGAATGTTGAGGTCAGGCAACAACAGCCAGTGGTCCAACTTAGCTGGAGTATAAATGGGAGGGGAGAGTAGAGATTAATTATGACAGTCGTGAAGGAGGTAGAATTGATGAAACTTGACTCCAACAATCTGCATATAGAGGTTTAAAAGGAGGCATAATGGGTGAATCTGAGGTTACTAACCTGGGTGACTGGGAGCATAGTGGTTCCCTCAATGAAAGTGGAAGAAGGGTGGGTTCCATTTTGACTATATTGAATTTGGGATTCTGATGGGACAACTAAGTGGATGTGTGTATTGAATCATGCTGGTGAGGAAGAAGTCAGGGGAAGGAATCCAAAGAGACTGTTGTGTCTTCATAGGAGCCTCCACTATGGAACTCAGGGTCAAAAAGGTCACTGACAAAATATTAACACAAGGGGCACCACTAAAGAACAATATTAAGGAGAGGCAAGGATTGTTAAGATTAGCGTCATCAGTCAAAGCCTTTGAAAAATATTAAGAGAAACAACATACCCCAGTGAAGGCAAAAATGAATAAAAAAGGACTTGCCTTCTGCCTAGGGCTGAATGGTGTAATCTTCATGGCCTAGTGCAGGGGTGGGGAACCTGCAGCCTGGAGGCCACATGTGGCCCTCTAGGTCCTCAAATGCAGCCCTTTGTCTGAATCCAAACTGCACAGAACAAATTTATTGCTCTAAAATGGGGACATTCGTAGCATCTGTAAGGTTGTTGTGAGGCTCAAATGAGATCACGTGTACAGTATAGAGCATTTTTATCACTTTTTTTCCCTTCAATGGTCCTGAGGGGCAGTATGGTATAATAGTGGAAAGGGTACTAGACTTGGAGTCAAGAAGATCTGGGTTCAGATCTCAGCTCTGACATTTACTCGCTCTTTGAACACGAACAAGACTGCAGGTCTTTGAACACTATATATCTAGGAGCAGAAGAACTGAGGTTATGGCTGAAAATATCATACTCAGCAAAGTTAAGCATAATCCTGAATGAAAAAAAATGGATATTCAATGAATTGCCAGACTTTTAGGATTTTATTGCAAAAAGACCTGAAATCAATAGAAAATTTGACATACAGGATCCAAGAGAAATATGAGGTAAACATCAAAGACTAATTGCAAGGCACTCAAGAAAGACAGACTGTTTACTTTTTATATGAGGAAATGTAAAACTGGTCTAAGCCTCAGTGACTCTATTCCTTACCTATAAAATAGGGATTGTAGCACTTTTAAGGTTATTATGAATAAATTTATAAATCTCAAACCTTCTAAATGTGAGCTGATGTAAAGTCCTATAATTATATTCAAAAAAATCAATCGAAACCCCTTCTGGATCTCATGTGTACTTTGTTCTAGAGGTTTATAATGACTTTATCACATAAAACTGGGCATTAGGGTTTTGTGCATTCATATTTTATCTCCTTACTATAAGTTCTGTGAGAGCACAGACTATATTTAATGTAAACTATATATTTTCCCAAACCTAGCATAGTACTCTCTCTCTCATATATATATATATGTATATATATGTATCTCATAGGTGACTAATATATGTTTGTCAAAAGACTGACTGACTGAATGAATGAATGAATGAGTGGATGGAAGGATTATTTGTCAAGAATTATAGCCTCAGCCTTAGTCTGGAAAGGGACTCTGTGTGTGTGTGTGTGTGTGTGTGTGTGTGTGTCTGCTAAAATCCCCTCCCCACAAATATTATCTCTGAGATGTGCTAAGTTGCCCATTCTCCTATCACAGATAGGAGAGGATCCTATGGCTCTTCACTATGGCCACTTTAGAGTTATATAACCCGCAGGCCTTTTGATTAGATCAAAAGGAAATTGTGAAAAAGTCCCATTTGTTTCAAAGGCCCCCAAACTGACCTATTTGTGTATATTTCTGTACAGTTTTTCCAGGGTTCTAACCCAGGCTTCTCAGTTCTCACTTTCTCTTTTATATGTCCTTTCCTAATATAGAGGGTACTGCAGAAGGCTTAGTGAGGTTTTAAAAGTTTAAAGTACTTTCTCTTTACACACATACACATATAGAACAGGAAGGTATCCTTCAAATGCAATCTATATGCATGCTGTTGTTGCATTGGCTGTTTGTTTGTTGTGGTATCCATGGTTGCTGAGATAGCCTGATAGAGTAAATAGGGATCCAGCCTCAGAGGGAGAAAGATCTGTATTCGAGTCTTACCTTTAGCAGATACTGATTGTGTGATCCAGTTGTGGTTGTGTGATTGAATGATCTAGTTGCTTGCCCTCTCAGCATCCCTGGAAACTCTATAAGACTGAAATTCAGAGAAGGTGCCAATCTATGTTTGATACAGCGTGGTTTCCTCACCTGGAGTTCTGTACACATATGCACACACATGCACACACACCTAGACACACACGCACACACATACACACCCATTACAGGACTCGTGACTTCTTCTGGGCCTGGGATAAGGGACTCTGTGTTTATGTTACTCCCTACTCTAATTACTAGCCCTATCTCAAAGTCTTTGGCAGAAGGCTCTGGGAGATTTAGACCAGCTCAGTGAAACCTACAGAAAAGAATCTTTGTAAAACATAAAAAAAACAATATAAATGTGAATGATTATGAGCATAATGAATTATCGTTTTGTCGTCATTGTTATTACTAAGTCTATTTGGGAAATCAGCAGGGAGTAGGGAAGGTAAATCAATGCTGCTCAGTCTTTACACTCTATAAATCTAGCCATACTGGCTCACTTATTATTCCTCGCACATAATGCTTCTTATCCCATCTCCCTGCCTTTGAATTGGCTTTCCCCATGCTTGGAATGCATTCTCTCCTCACCTCTGACTCTTAAGCTCCACCTCCTTTCTTTTAACTCTCCAATTAAATGCCACCTACTGCCTGAGATCTTTCTTGATACCACCAGCAGCTAATGCCTTCTTTCCCACAATTACCTTGTATTTTTATATACAAAAAGTCCATGCTGTCTTTGCTGATAGAATGTAAATTCCTTAAGAGACTATTTTATTTTTAAAATTTGTATCCTTAACACCTAACCCAGTGCCTGGCACAAATAGGTGCTTAATAATTTAAAGCTTACCGATTGACTCGTTGATAGTGTTTCCCAGTTTGGTCCTAGTTTCTCACATAGGCCTGGAGGCATACTGAAAGGAGACAGAGGCAGATAAGCGATAGGATCTCCTTTGTCTTCTCAATCACGATTTACCAAGAGAGGAAGAAAGCAGGGCAGATTTCTGGCATTGCCACATATTTTTGGCATTATCCAATGTCCTCCACTTTAGGGCAGGCTCTTTCTATCATGACTTATCACCTGTGACATGACATGTTCTACACATATGGGCATGTTGTACACATTAGGACACGTTTCCTGCATTAAGGGATTTTCCCAGACTTTGGGCATTTTCCTGGTTCAAAATTTAAGATGGATCTCAGCGTGCAGATGTATGCAGGGGGTACCAGAGGGAGGGAAAAGGTATTCTTCTCTTTAGGAGACACTATCATTATTATTCCCATCATAGTCACTATTTAATGAAGGATAATGGGAATCTGATGTTTATATAGAGTTTTTAAATTCACAAGGTATCATACACATATTATCTCATTTTATCCTCACAGCAACCCTATAAGGTAAGATTTACATTTTGCAAGAAAACTGAATCTCAGAGGGGTTCAGGATTGACTTGTCCATGGCCACACATGACTGCATGTGAGGTAGTTTTGAACCCAGGTCCTCTGAGGAGTGACATTAATAGGAAGAAACAACTGTTCTGTGTCTACTTTATCTCAGAGTATGATCCCCCCCATATATGTTCTCTCATCTCAGATCTAACCTTGGACATCCCTACTAAGCATTGTTCCATCCTAAATTCTAAGGTCCAGCCCCCTCAACCTCTCTTTTCAAATGGTGCCAAGCTAGAGTAGTCTATCACCGGGCTTGCAACACACAGCTCACCTGGAATGCCTCTGTTCACTGATGGGCTGGATGGAGACCTCCAGACAACTTAATAGATCATTTCTCATAAAGAGAGCCTCCAGGAAGGAAAAGAACATTACACCAGCAGAATGCACTTACAAGAAATAGATATGTGCAGCCGCAGGATAAAAAGCTTTGATATTAAAATTTTTTATAACTTAAAAAGGCATGAAAAATGATACCGACCACTAACTAATCAACATTCCTTTGTGAATGCAGCTTCAGTTCCTAACCAGAAACACATCTCTGCTATTGTCTTGTCTGGATCCAGATGCAAACATGATTAATTAAGTTTCAGGCAAGGAACAGGAGGGGGAAACGGCCTGATATATCATTTGATGAGGAACATTCCTACAAACAGCAGCTTGTGCAGATCTTGAAGCCTGGTTCCTTGTTTTGCTTATGCTGAAGTTATTGTTATCTCTGTTACCATGGCAGCCCCTTATTTTTTAAACCCAGTCCAAAGGGCCGAGAGGTTGAGTAATAATGCAGGCAACGAGAAAATTCTGATGCCCCCAGTAAGTCTGGGAAATGCCTCGGTTTCCTGCAAAGGAGCCCAGGAGATGTGTAAATGGATTGTCTCAAAGGTAAATAAATGCAAGTGATACATATCAAGCAATATTAAATAGTGGGAAGATCATGAGTCAGGAAACCTCAAGTTTGAGTCTCACCACATTGACTTACCCTCTCCTGCCTTTGTAAAGTGCTTAGCTCAGTGACTGGTATGTACTAGGTGCTTAATAAATGACCATTCCCTTCCTTCCCTTTTCCCATTTGAAAAATAGAGACATGAAACTCTTGCACACCTGGCCTCTCAGGAATGAGAATGAAAATTGGTGCTTTGCCCTGTTCTCCAAGGAGCAGGGAGACGATCAGGCCATAACGGACCCAAAAAGGATGGTCCAAAAAGGAGCGATCACTTCATTCCTTGGATCCACAGGTAACAAAGAACTGGTAGGGAGGGAGGTGATAGGGCGACGGTACCTACCGACCTTATACAGGTCTTGGAGGGATATAGGAGAACGGCAGCATTGTTAGTCATACCAATGACCCCCGATAGCCAGCCAGGAAACCCAAGTGGCAAGCTGGGGACTTGGGCTGAATCTGACAATATGTACAGTGAACTTATCATTTGGAGTTCAGAGTAGACCTAGGCTCTATATTAGTGAGAGACATCACAGGAGCCTAGCTTTAGAGCTGGAGGGGCCGTAGAGGTCATAACCCTAACTCTCAATTTTTTACAAATGAAGAAACCGACGCCTAGGGAAATTAAGTGACCTCATGTCTGGGATAGAATTCAAATCCAAGTCTTCCCATATCCAAGACCAGTGCTCTATCCACTGTGCCTCACTGTCTCTCTTTGGAATCATGGGAGTAATCTAGGATAACACTGGTGCCCAACGCAAGGATCATCACACTTTCTACGAATCCACGCATCATAAGGATAGCACAAGGAATTTGACAGTATAAGTCCAAAGCTTAGCAAAGTGATATTTAATGGAGTCCACCTACAAGATCTCCCTATTTTTTCTGCTTCACTATTTAGCTACTCTATTCTCCTAAGATTTATCTTCTCCTTAGTGTTAGCTGTAAATTACTGATTTGTTTTTAAAATCCAAATATATCAGGGGCAGCTGGGTGGTGCAGTGGATAGAGCACTGGGCCTGGAGTCAGGAGGACCTGAATTCAAATCTGGCCTCAGATACTAGACATTTACTAGCTGTGTGATCCTGGGCAAGTCACTTAACCCCATTGCCTAGCAAAAAACAAAAAAAACAAAAAAAAAAAATACAAATGTATCAGAGATGCTATATCTGCCTAATCTGGGAATTTTTTTTCCTATTCCAGAAGTATAAGGAAGAAAACTTGCATTTGGATGTATATACTTGACATAATAAATATGTATCTATACATATGCATATACATGCATGTATATATACATTTATTATTTCTCAATTGCGCCTGACTCTTCATGACCCCATTTGGAGGTTTCTTGACAAAGATAACTGGCATGATTTTGCCATTTCCTTCTCCAGCTGATTTTTACAGATGAGAAACTGAGGCACACAGGGTTAAGTGACTTGCCTAGCATCACACAGCTAGTAAATGTCTGAGGTCAGATTTGAATTCATGAAGATGAGTCTTCCTGACTTTAGGCCTAGCACTCTATCCACTGCACCACCCTACCCTATACACACATATACATACTTATGCATATATGTATACATTTTATATGTGCGTATATGTGTATGTTTATGTATATATGTATGTATATGAAATCAGAATCTTTAGTCCCTAAATGTCTATGTTAGTATGTTGTATGTTACAATGTCACTATGAATCCTCTCCCTTTAACATTTCTAGGACAGAGTTTATTATCCCTATTTCATGGGCTGGGACACTGAGACCCAGGGGATAAAATTATTTTCCCACGATCAAAAAAATGAGCCAGTCAATGGTAAAGCCAAGTTGGAACCCAAATTTCCTGACTCTCAGCCTGCTGTAAGCCTAGAATGACTCCTCCCAACTCATCCCCCATCCAAACGTTCTGGGCACTGTTAGATTAATGAATAATATGTGACTAAAACTTTGCCCCTCCAAAAGTTGGAGAGGATTTACAAAGGAAAAAAGAAATCCCTTGGAATGTATCCAGGGCACTATAACAAATGCCCCTGCTCTTGTGAATAACACATTAAAATATTATGGGTTTTCAAAAAAAAATTCACTTCCAGGTAAGCAATCATACATGTATACATCAGCATCCAGACTTCTACCCAGTGCTGGAAGTGGGGATGAATCAGAAAGCTATGTCTCTTTATCTCAAGAAGCCTTGAAAACATCCTATAACTTTGACTAAAAAGACAATGCCTGAGCAGACTTCCTCCCTTCCTAATCATAACATATCCCGCCTTTATATATGTCTAGTCCTGATACTTAGTAGGTCTTTATCTCCTCCGCTGCCTCCATCTCTGCTGGCTGATATTGTTCCTTTTTTTAAAGTTTTCAACATTCATTTTTTTATAAGATTTTGAGTTCCAAATTTTTCTCCTTCCCTCCCTCTCAAGCAATCTGATATAGCTTATGTATGTGCAATCACGTTAAACGTATTTCCACATTAGTCATGTTGTGAAAGAAGAATCAGAACAAAAGGTAAAATCCATGAGAAAGAAAACAAAAACAAAACTGAAAATAGTATGCTTCGATCTACATTCAGACTCCATAGTTCTTTCTCTGAATTTGGATAGCATTTTCCATCATGAGTCTTTTGAAATTGTCTTGGATCGTTGTATTTTGTTTGTGTAAAATCTTTTTAATTTAATATAACCAAAATTATCTATTTTGCATTTTACAATGTTCTCTAGCTTCTGTTTGCTCATAAATTCTTCCCTTCTCCATAGATCTGACAGGTAAACTATTCCTTGCTCTCCTAATTTGCTTATGGTATCACCCATTATGTCTAAATCATGTACCCATTTTGACCTTATCTTGGTATATGGTGTGAGATGTTGGTCTATACCTAGTTACTGCCATATTATTTTCCAGTTTTCCCAGCAGTTTTTGTCAATAGTGAGTTCTCATCCCAGAAGCTGGAGTCTTTGGGTTTATCAAACAGTAGATTGCTACAGTTACTGACTACTGTGTTTTGTGTACCTAACCCCTTCCACTGATCCACCACTCTATTTCTTAGTCAGCACCAAGTAATTTTGATGATTGCTGCTTTACAATATAGTTTTAGGTCTGGTACAGCTAGGTCACCTTCCTTTGCATTTTTTTCATTAATTCCTTTGATATTCTTGACCATTTTTTCTTCCAGATGAATTTGGTTATTATTTTTTCTAGCTCTATAAAAAATGTTTTTGGTAGTTTCATTGGTATGGCACTGAATATTCTACCTTTCTTTCTTTAAGGCTCAATTCAAATTCAGCCTTTTTCGGTGAATCCTTCCCTGATTTCCTCCTCTGTCCCCAACCAGGGGAGACCCTCAGCTCTCCCATGAACTCTTATAGCACTTTGTTTATATTCATCCTACCACTCAATCAATAAAAATTAATTAAGTGTTTACTAAATGCCAGGCATTGGGAATATAAAAGCAAAGATCAATCAGCCTCTGCCTTCAAGGACCTTACAATCTACTAGGAGAGGAAACATATATTCATATAAGTATATATAATGTCCAAAATGAATACAAGGTGGTTATTATAGGAGGATAGGCACCAGCAGCTGTGAGACTCAGAAAAGGCTTTGTGGGGAAGGCAGGTAGCCTCCAAGCTGAGTCTTAAATGGGACAAGGGATTCCACAGAATCAAAGAAAGTTAGAGGCGGGAAAGATGTCATTCTCATATACTTTCTTTACCATCTTTGTCTATTTTTTTTATCTATGGGTCCATCTTATCTCTCTTACTAAACTGTGAACCCCACAAAGGCAGAGAATGAATCTTTTTTTTCTGGCAAGGCAATCAGGGTTAAATGATTTGTCCAGGGTCACAGAGCTGATTCCAGGACAGGTGCTCTATCTACTGCACCACCTAGCTGTCCCCAGAAAATGAATCTTAGAAAAAACTGAAGGATCTCTAAGCTGGAAGGAAGCTCAGAGGTTCGAATCCTAACTGTACTTAAACACCCCCCTCTTCTCCCAAGAGCCCCTGCTCATTCATACATTTCCTGCCAGCCCCAATACATTGGGGCCAGCTCTAATTATTACTCACCCATGTTTTCATCTTGTATACATGTCTTTTAGAAGTCTAAGTTGGTGGAATTCACTCTGCATCTACATCAATTTTTTGAGAAAGCTCTCCCTTTCCTGATCATCTGAATTATTTTTTTTTAGAATTTTGTCTTTAAGGACTTCCTGTCCTTCCTGGGCTGACTTCCTTTGTGGAATTTTAAGCCATGAAATCTTTTCCTGGACCCTTTGAAATCTACTCACCCCAAATCAAGGAATCACAACAACAATAACAGTAGCATTTATATAGTGCTTTCAGGTTTGCCAAGTACTGAACATCTCTTATCTCACACTTCGCTTGACTTTTCTCTCTTTCTTGATCACAAATTCTAAGATGGTAACTTTCTCCTGACTCTCATCATCCTACCTCAGTAACTGGTTTCTCCTTGTTAGTGAGGAAGTCCAAAATAGCACCTCTTGCTCTTTGGTTTCTGAATCTTTTGAAAGGTAAAATTACTATTCGTGTCAGACAAGAACTGAGCTATTCAGCTCTTGGTAGAGAGAGAGAAGTCCTGCAGGTGTCCAGTGGGTAAATGAAGTTTCCTATTACTACCATATCAGAGCAATCAGAACCATAGGCTCCCATTTGGTCTAGGATCTCTGCCCTGCTTATTTCTCGGCAGGCTTTAGACTGAGATAGAAGCTGGAACCAAGACCTCACTCTGCTCCTAGGGTCTGAGCCACACAGTTGCTACTTACCTCTGTACTTGCCTCTCTCTTGGTATACCACTGAGGGCTTATGACAACTCCCTAGACCAGAGCGCCAACCCTGGGCACAAATCACCTTCTCAGTACACCCTGGATTTGTGACCTGACACTGAGGAATGGGAGACAAAAGTGCTCGTCAGCACCTGTACCCAAACCCTACACGTAGTGCCCCAGAACAGGTTTGGGACCTCCTCTTGCCCTGGTGCACAGCCTCTCGCTTCAGCATGTGTCTGGCCTGACAAGGTCCCTAGCATGCATAAACCTCTCTATCTCCCTATGCTGACCTGGGCTGGGGGAAAAAATCAGTCATTTGTGACTCCTTCTTGGGTTTCCCAATGATGATTCAGCCCAGTGCATTTTCTAGATCTCTTCTGAGAATTTTTTTTTGAGGAGAGGTTGTACTCACTGTACTGCTTCTTTATTCCTATACTATATTATCTCTAGCTCAGTTACGCCCCACTTTTTGTGGAATTTCATTATTTAAAAATTTTCTTTTTTTATCAGGAACT